GTTAGCAGCATATTTCCTGTAAAAGGCAGCACTCTGCTATTCACTGCAGCCATCTTTCCCCCACTGACTTTTCAGACAAATTACTGGTAACTCACCTAATGTTATGACAGTCAAGCTTGATTCTTCACTTTCCACATAATTTTAAGCATCCCAGCTAAAGCCTGCAATGAATTAAACACCATCTCTCCACTTACAGGAGTGAAACCGTGAGCGCTCCGAGCCCAGCTGCTTTGGTGCTCGCCTTCATAACCACGGCAGCTTCCCATGTGTCAGAAATATGCCCTCTTCATTCCCCTTTGAAGTGATTCTCCAGTCCTAAGATATCCTTCAAACACATTTTTATTCACTGTAGATCAAGAATCTAATACTTATTCCTTTGCTTCTCTTTAATTAGCGTGAGAACAGACCACGGTCCATACAGCCCCTGCTGCCTACATGGGTAGTGATATCGTACCAGAGACTCTGACCAGCCTTAAATGCAATGTATGGGCGGGTGCAAACGATGCTTGTGGTTTGCTATACTTCGTTTTTTAAGCAAAGATGCTGCAGACTCAGACAAAATTATTTGAAGTATGGGATTAAGCAGAGTTCAAGTTCTAATCAATTTACAGGACAAGACAAAAAGGACTTGAAGATCTGGAAGGGGAGGTGCAATACTATGGCCTTGGAAAGCAGAAATGCATACAGCTGGCAACTGCATAATTGTATGCACCAAAGCGTGGGTGCATGAGCATTTCACACCCATCCAAACCCTGGCTGCTAATGTGAATTGGATGTGTTGCACATACATTTTACCTGTAGACTTTTCAAATGCAGGTCAAGGTGATCTCAGAACTGCATAGGCCATTCAATCTACAGATCACTATTTTAGCTATGGATAAATTAATTGCTCCCAGGAATGGTTTAAATCCTCCTTATTCAGAAGGGATAAATTCCTGGAGAGGTAAGAAAAACCTGAAGCGTTCAGCTGGTTGGAGGATTCACATTGTAGAAGCTGTGCACAAACTGTGTGAGGTAAATGAGAAGTGTTTGCCAGTGTCAGTGTGAAGGACGCAGATAAGCAGGGTGTAAGCTGTGGGACAGGAGGATGAGCTACCCTTCATTAAAGTAACTGAGCCCATTGCCAGCGGTTCTTGATGCGCCCTGGAGAAGAAGCAGGGTTAAAAGGATGGAAAGAAAACGGGAAAAAAAGTCCTTCTTAAAATGCCTAGGCTTATCCCTTCACACGGTATTTGATGTTATGACCCTTTCTAACAGTAACTTACATCAAGTTACTTAAAAAAGAGCAACAGAGTTATGTAATTAGTGCTGGCTTTCTGAAGTTAAAAAAAAAAAAATCATAATTCACCTACTGTCAATTAAAATCTCTCTTTCCCAGCAGCATCAAGTCACTGTGAAGACCATAAGCATGTATACATGCCACCTGGATGTCTTTGCTATCATCATGCCTAAGTATGAAGTCTGATTATTATTTTGATTTGGGTTTTTTTTTCACCTTTTCCTTTAGATGAAGATTATTATTACGGGTGCCTAAGCTTTAGTCTTTACCTTCCATCAGACAAAAAATAACAAACAGTTATAGGAAAGTGCTCTAAATATGGGGGTTTTTAACAGCTAGGAAGAAAAGATAGTTTGGAAACCAAAATATGCTGGAGGCACTTTCTCCATCCATAGAATATTTGGTAAATTGACTTTCGCTTCCAGGGCAGGCATTCAGCTTCTTCGTTAGTATAATGATCCTCGGTCTTCTCTTCCCAAACTCAGATAATTGGAATGGAAAATAAGTTTTATGAAATTTAACTATTCATAGTGCCAATAAATCTTAAGTTGTGATTGCATGTCACTTACAGTAATGCTATTCCTCTGTACTGTAGATCAAAATATATTTATTCAGCATTCTTAAGATCAAATATCCTTTCTCTTTGCTTGACAAGAACAATCTAGCGTGCTGTCGAGTACCAAGGTGACTTGAGAGTTTTTCTAATGTGTAATCCCCTTTTATATTCTGTATTATGTAGGGACTCAAAGACAAAATATCTGCATTATCTTAAATAAACTAGGTAAAATGTATTTCAAAAAGTTTCTTGAGTCAAAAAGTAGCAAATCATTGTATGTATTTTCCATATTTGTATAGGTTTCATTATATCCTCGTTCTAAGTTACTCTTAAGTCTCTTTCATATTTAAAAAATGAACTACACACCTATCATGCAAAATGTAAAGAAGTATGTTCAACTAGTTCAAATTAGATATACAGTAAAAATACACTTCCAAAGAAATATCATTTCCATTTTTGTTCATGTTTTTAACAGAATTTCAGACTAATACATCAAATGTGGAACTGTACAAGTATGTGAAGAAACATTAGGATTGCAGTAGTAAAAAAATGTACAGCATTCAAAACCAACAAGCTCTAAACAACCAAACAATACCACAGGATTGAAACAATCATGGGGACAACATAGGTCATTGGAGCCAGTGAGTGAATCCTAATGCACCTACATAAAGACCCTACATAGAATATTGTATCTTATTTATATGCAAAATCCCTGATTTGATTAAACCAGACAATTTCTCTAATTGTCTCTTATAGGTTTTAGATAAGATTAGCACGAGAGTATTCCCCTTCATAAATGTCAGTTATTTGAAAAGGCAATATTGAGAATTGATTTGAAAGGTATTTCCATCCATGTGGATTCAGGTAGTTAAAATACAAGATCACAAATCATAGCGCTGCAATTTTAAAGAACCATTTGTATCTGCTACATTTGCCGTAACACTTTAGAATTCAGGATTCAGTTTTTAAAAACTGTTTACAGGTTAATACACAGGGGGTTAAATTATGGGCTGTATCCATTTAACAGTGGACCAACATTGTCTTTTAAATTAAGAAAATATCCAGCTAAGTAGGTCAAAAAGAAATAAAATTTCCAATGTCATTGACAATGAACAAAACATTACATACAGCAGAAGCTCTGTGTCTGAATGTCTTTGAAAGGTGGATACGTACTCTTTTACAGTCCCCTAACCAGCACAATTTCCCTATTAGACATTTATATTATGAGGAAGAATGTCTTGGACAAACCTGTAGCAGTTATTAATTCGACCCAAATTATCTTTTTATTGTTTTATCATTGTGCATAAACTTAATGAACTATGCTAGCCTACTGGTTTTAGTGACCAGAACGTAATCCCTTTCACAGATCTTAGCTCGTTATGATTTTTTTAGGACTATCTTGTTTTTCCGATAAATCACTGGTGGGTTTTTTTAAGCTGAAGTGTAAAAAAGGTTAATAAATGAGCTAATTATGTCAGCATTTCTATCCCACAGTCCTCATGCTCTGAGATCTCTCACTGATCCCAATAGGAATTTGGCTTGCACAAGAATGGCAAATTTTCAGCTGAGAAAGGGGAATAAATGCAGCGCTTTTAAACCCAAAACTTTGTTACCAAAGAGTCTGGGCTACTAAATCATCTTCAGTGCACTGAAAAGGGAAAAGAACATGAATCTTGGCACCTATCTTGCTGTTTATTTGGAATAATCTTTTAGCAATTTTGATCCAATGGGAATGATGGATTAGTTTTAGAGACCTAGCCACACACAACCTAACATTTGACTGAAATAAACTGATTGTAATAGGTTTGAAAAGGAACAACCATATGCATCTTATGTACCACTCAAAATCTATAAAACTACTGGGCAAACAGCATAGTGTATACTCCTTATACATATTTAAACTTTGCTGAGGTATTTCTTTAATTACAGAAAAGCATCTTTAAAAACAATAGGAAAAAACCCTCAAAATATGAGCTATATTCTGCAGAGATTTTTGGGGAAGAAGGAATTGAATTGTATTGAAAGGTCCGTAATCATTAAAGGAATAACCACTTTTATTAGCATCGATAATATCATATTCTTCCTTGGCTTTTTATTCCTGCAAAGCATTACAAAAAATGTAAGGCTGTGACTTTATAAAACATAATTTTGCCTTGACTTTGCCCACCAGTGTTGTAAAATAACCTGAAATACTTCTGTCTTTCTCCTAGGGAAAATATTACCCCGTGCCCACCTCTGTAATGGACCGATTGTAGCCACCCAGATGTTGGATACCTGCTTGCCGCCTCCACGAAACGGGACAAGCCATCTCTTGCACAAAAGCAAGATTGTTTTCATAAATGCTAGCTGAAGTCAAGTTTCTTTCACACAGCAAAATTAAGTCTAGTTTGTCTGTTTGAATTTTAACATTATCTGATAATTTCTACCTGCAACTAGCAGTTATTTATTTCTCTACGATGAAGATACTTAGAGTGTTGTACGAGCTGGATTTCTCACCCATATATACTTCAGGAACAGGAGGAATGTACACACCATATTTAGAGTTTATCCTAGGCAGATACTGTGTTTGCAGTGCAGTTTTCTAAACCTTTTAAATACAATCAGCCTATCTTGGTCATGACACTAATGTGAAATGTAACTGCAGCCATTACAAGTAGTTTCCATAAGTGGTTTTATTACTGGTTAGATTTTACAAATTCTGGTATTCCAACAGACTTCGACTTTAAAATTCTAAAACAACAAAGCAACCAATGAAAGGCTTAGGACTATTCAAAGTAACAAACTCTTAACATTTTTGCCCTGGTCATAAATATACAGAGAGAAAAAGAGAGAAGTGGACATGGAATCCAAAGAATGTAGATAAAACAGTATATAAGGCACATGGCAGTCTTTGAAAATACAGAAGCTTTAGCCAACTTAAATTAATTGCTGTTTCCCTTGCTCAGTCCACAAAACTGTACAGTTACACAAATGTTGTGTTGCAATAGATCTTCCAAGTTATTCTTCAGTCCATACTCCGTAATACCAGAACACTACATTTCCTTCTGTTTTTTTAGGAGAGATCCTAATTGTGGTTAGTCAGTTGCTCAAAGCCTCTATTAAAATACACTTGGAATTTCAACTAAGAATAATTTCTTTTTTAAAGAAATTATTAAGAAAGAGTCATCAGAAAAGGTTTGTAAGAGTTGTCTGTGAAGGACTTCGAGATTCATGAACCTCAAGACTTCCGGGCACTGACGTCAAGACAGATGTCACAGTAGGCATAGTAGGATTAGTCAAGTCCGTTAAAGTAGTGGGAGTGCTGGATGGACTCATGGAGGCATTGGATATTTCTGAGGCAGGACCTGACGGGGTCCCCGCTTGGAGTGTTGAGTCTGAAGTCTTATCCACCCCTGTGTTTTCTTGACGTAAGAGGTTCCGTCTGAATTTGGCTCGAGCGTTTTGAAACCAAACCTGAAATAGTTTAATATAACAGGGTAGCATTTAAAGAGCTGCAGTGTTTAAAAAAGCAAAAGCATACTCACAAATTCACCAAGGCTTGAATTGTGGAAGATGTTTTTACTGGTAACATGTTAGAAAAGCAGTCCCCGTTGTGAGGAGTGTCCTCTGCACACCTGTAAAGCACTCATCTTTCCCTCTCCTGCAACCCTGTATGAACAGTCAGCCTGGGACAGGAGTGGACTAAGAACAGAGGAGGCGAGTCTTTCTGTGCAGGCTATGTATAAAGATGCTTAGAAATTTGGCAGCCCTCATGAATCCTTGATTGCCCGCAATCCCAGAAGTATTTGTCTGGATGAGGCAGACATCAAGTATCTGATGAATATAAAATAATGAGTTTCGGCACCCTCGTATCTCAGGTCCATCTCCCATCGTAAGCAGCAAGTGACACAGACCACAGCACCCTGCCTTTCTGTGGGCCCCGAGAGCTCTCCCAGGAACTTTCCCATGTCTCAGTGTCAGCAATGCTCTCGCTTTTCTACAGGGACTGTCCCTCTTTCTCACTCTTCTCTTACTCTTCTTTCTCAAATGCTTCAGCTCCCTGTGCCTATGCCAGTCTCCTTTTTCAAATGTTTCCGGTACTGGAATGATGTCAGGAAAAGAGGCTTGAATGGTATTAAAGACCCACATTGCATTAAAAACTGTCATTTCGGTAGAAATTGTATCCACATACAGAACTTTTTTCCAAGATTGCTACTGCTTGCATGATTTGATTATTATCTGTGAGTGAAGGACAAAAGCTATGACTTCATCTTTCTCAGTTAAATTTCAATGCTTAGGTCCAAGTTGATAATGCTCTCCACTGTCTGCAGGATTTGTTTAAAGATAAAATAGTTTTCTGACCTATTTGAAAATAGATTTTAAAAAAATGTGTTTGTGAAACTTGCATGAAACCTAGGTTACAGTATATTACTTCAACTAAATTTTAAAATGTCATTAAATACCCTATGTTCAACCTGATATATGTTGATACCAGGTAACTTTACTGCTGCAAACCAGCTGAAATTTCACTGTGCTTATTTATCAGAAGGCTTTCTGTCCTTGTTATATTCTTTACAGTGGACTCAGTCCTGATCCTACTGTCCTCATGTTGACCTTCTATAAGGAATAGGACCAAGTCTATCCATTCCAGATGCAGTGAGCCTCGACATCTCTGTATCTACCAGAGAAAGGAACTGAGCGAGTGAACGCATCTGCATAGCTGTACAGTATCTCCATCGGGTTCCTCCTCGGTGGCCTGTCCAGGGAAAATGAGTGCGTGGAGCTCATGAGGCCGCACCAACCTGTACAGAAATTCTGAGCTCTACCTCTGAGACAGTGTGGCCCCTGACACAGGATCTGCTTTAAGCCAGACCACTAACAGAGGGGCGATTGGTAAACATGAGTAGTCCTGTAAGTTGTTATCTTCGCACTCTAAGCTGGCCAGCCGCAGTTAGAACTGGTGAATGTGTCTCAGCTGTTTTTCCTCTGACTGTTTTTCTTCTCATCTATGGATGGTCCAGACCCAAATTCCCCCTGTTGAGCACTCTTACTTTTTCTCTGAAAAGCTTTCTCCCCCAACCGAGGGTCTTTAAGGTACGTGCCCTCTCTCTTGCGCTGTCTCCAGGGAATGCCACGAGGAAATAATCCTCAGGCACACATTCTAGCAGTGGCCATAGGAGCTGCATTCACGGGCCATGCATAAATCATGCTCCTACAGGTCCTTCTTCCTGAAAGCTTAGTATTTTAAAACAGTTTATGTTGGCATTCTCTTTGTTAAAACACTTAGTTTAAAGGCAACACTTAGTTTAAAGGCGATATATCAGTTTCATATGCGACAAGAAAACAAAAATGTCCTAAACTAGCACTGGCAAAAATATACTCATGATTTTATAACATAGTCCATTACAGTGGTAAACATGTTAAAGGACAGGAATGTGGTCAAAACCAGGCAAAACCAAATGTGATGGTTTTGCCTGACACATTCAAAGCCGGTGTCCTCTCATGACTGTTCAGAGCCACGCAAGAAAGGAGGCACGGAAATCTATGCGTGTGGTTCTGAGTAAGGCGAGGAGCCTCGTGTGCAGGGGATGCAAGTGGAGCAAATCAGTTTGTTCTGGTCATTCAAGCCCCAGTGTCTCACGTGCCAACTAGTTAGGAATGATAAAAACCATCAATTTGAACAGTTATGGCATTTTTTACCTTTCAGTAAGAGATAATTTCTATTTGTCCCACAGAGTAATTTGGTTTTGATTTTTTTTAATTCAGCTGCTAACAGTTGTAAAAAGGGTAATACATACAAGGGTGAAATGGAAGTTTAGAGACTGACACTGTTGATATGTATGTGTACCATGGTTACATAATAATTAAAACAAAACCGCTAGTCCAATTGCTTATACACATAGTTCTGCATAACTTCACACTTATGCTCACTAAAAATACATGTGTTTATATACGCCCCAAATATGAGTAATATTTGCATTCCTATTCACAAAATAATTTTCTTGCTTAATCTGTAAAACTGTAGAAGGCACTGTAACTGTTTTGTTCATTTACATTGTTCCTAAAAGTCCAACAACTGCTCCTTAAGCTCAGTAGGGCGAGAGACTACGGTATCACTTCTGTTTGTGATGTGAAACATGAGGTATGTAAAGAACAGTGAGCTAGATTATTGGTGCTTATGTATTCCCCTTTATCTGCCATTAAATATGAAAACCTGTGCTCAGATGCCCTTCCCGATGACCATTAATGCTGCTTTCAGGAGCCACACATACAAGATGGTTCATTTGCTCTTTAATAGTGGTAATTTACGTTAGACATAGAAAATATTCCATAATCTTGTCAGTATTACTAAAAAACAGAGGTAGTACGACTACTTTCACTTTCTTCCTCACTGAGATATTGTCAAGGTTAATCAGCTGGTGGTTATAAAGCCCTTTAAAACTGTCCAATAATAAATATTCATGTTGTTACTGAAAAGGCGTCTAAATATTTGTTAACCGAAATTCTGAAAATACTTTGTCTCATGATAGAAAGGGATAACACAAGATAATTATCACAGTAGTGATATTCTGGTATGCACTTAAGATATGAAAGTATTCAGCAAAGACTTCACATTGAAGAGTAGTGAAATAATTAAAACTATTGTTTTCTGAGTTGTGGGAATGTAGGCCTGCCTCTCCACTGCCCCGTCTTGTTACTTATAGCTGTGCAAAGCAGCGTGTAAGAGCTGGCAAGCCAGGGCTGCCCATGCATGATGGCAGTGGCGCTGTACGCTCACATTGGCAATTCAGGCCCTGCACCTGTATCGGTATTACAGTAAAGTAAAGAAATAATAACCCAAACATATGTAACTGAAAGAATTGTTCCAGAAGGACTTATCTCACATCAATTACACAATTAGGAATCTGGTCTTCGGTACTGAGGAATAAACAAAATCGCTGGGAAGTACTTAGTGGTTTTCTGTCCAACTGTATCATTATAAGGCTGAGCTATTTCAAATCAGAGGGGAAAATATGGACCAAAACTCCTGCTAAAAAATAAAAGCAGCTGCGAGACCCACTACTGATATACCACATTCCGGTTAGCAGGGCTGGATGCCTGTAGCTGGACAACTCAGCAGCTAGGCAGAATAATATTTACTGTGGTTAATCTTATAATATCTCTTCGGTGATCTGTGCAGCTAACTCTTTGCCTACATCAAGTAAAAGAGGAATAAAATAACATCTCCATATGACTAGGAAATATTGAAAATAAATACACTAAGTGTTGTAAAGGATTTGGATGCTGCAGCGAATGAGATCATCTAAATCACCTTAGATAACTTCATTGTAACGCCTCCAACGTTGAAGCTGTTATATATTAGTTGTACGAATAGCTTGTGCTAGAAAAAAAATTTTAAACACAATTTTTCTCCTTCACACAGCTACCTGGAGACATTTAGGTTTACTGAATTTTACTAACTAGGAGGTGGAGAAACAAAAATATACAGGATGTTGCCTAACAAAGCAAACTACGTTCACTCATTGCACGCACATTTCGATTACTCTGTTGTAATTATTAAACACACAGTTGAAGGGGAACTATGGGATATTTTATGAATGGAGGCTCGGTCAAGAGTCTGCAGTACACTATCCTAAAGCAAAACTTCGCCGAAAGGTCGCGCAGGGTACCCATGCATGATTGTGAAAATTTTCATGCTTGTTGACTACCAGAAACTGAATTAGCAAAGTCCAAATGCATTCAGTAATCTGTGTGAGGTTTTCATAGCAACTTTACTGGGGAGTGATTCAAGAAAGAGTAAGCAGTGTACAAGACACCCACTGGAAAATAACACTTTGTGTTCCTAAACTGCTTTTGCCATGGATAATCACGTCCCAGACTCCTGGGGATGGGAGAGGTACATACCTATAGCTACCAAACCGCATCTTCTTAGTGTTATGTACTTCCACCTTCTCTTTCTAAACTCACAAAAAGAAAGACCAATTCCCAAAAGAGGAATGGTTATGCCAGTTAGCTCACAATTAGCTGGTTAATTCCATTATGAATGTCAGCTTACAATAACAGGCTTGTGTTCCCCAGCTGCAGTACAAGAATTGTATGAATTAAATTGCAAATATAAAGCTAAATTGGAAAGAAAATAAATAAAAATAGGGGTTAAAAATATAAATAGTTTTACTGTGATTCTAATGTGGCTACTTATGGAAAACAGTCTGCATTACTAAGCCACAGAACGAAATGTAATTTATGAAGCACTATGTTAAATTTCCGTGCCATTCCTCTTCTGGACATGCGTAGCTGATGACTAATTGTACCTAAAGCAAAGACAGAAGTCAGGTCTTCCAAATCCAATATCACGGACCATTAAGAATATGGCCAGATTCTCTGCTCATCTACAAACAAAGCACTCTCATTACGTGTTACGTGGGACTGTCTGTACAGTAAGGGCACTATAGCTGTTTCCTAAATCATGAGGAACTCTACTACCTGTGCTTAGGAAGTACACTCATTTCAGAACAAGGCAATCTGTTTCTCCTGATCTGCTGCCTTGTATTTTCTATTAAAATATATTCTATCGGTGGTATGCATAGAGCCACAATCCTTCATCAGCTGAACTGAGACCTGAACAGGCAGAAAATACAACGGAGGGAATGCGAAAGATTCCTTACTACTGGCAAGTGTGCATCTACGTCTGGGAGTCCACGCGCCTTCGGTATGTAAGACAGACTAATACTAATGATGCTTGTTTAAATCAATAGTGTCAGTGAATTACTTCGTGTTCAATAAATGACACAAATGGAATGCCAACCTTTCTGGATCAAAAGAATTAACAAGTGACACTGTCTCAGTAACCAACATCATGAAGAGTTTTCCCCAGCAAAGAGCAGCCCTGAAACTCATATAGGTGAGCTTCAGTGTTTGAAAAATTGCCGCTCTCAGGTTGGAGAGACACCAATTGGGCAGAAAGCTTCTAAGATCCAAAAAACAAGTTTGTTTTTTCATGGCCCAAATTAATTTTCAAACATAAAGTTTAAAAGAGTGTGGAGTAAAGACTGCTCATAACGGACAGGAAAACTCAAGTGATACCTTCCACCACACTTGAGCTAAAGGAGCCCAGACATAAAGGAGTATTTGACTGTGAAAGTAAAAGAATTTAAACACCAATTACCAAAACGATGAAAAATGTTTAGTGGAATTGTAAGGGACTACTGCAAAAAAGAGGAACCACTAAGCACCTTAAAACTGCAAGATGTGGCATGTTTAAGATGGAAAGAGAAGCAACGAAGAAACTGAAAAAGGGAGGGAGGTGCAGTGGAGACACAGAGTCCAGTTTTGGAGACAAGAAAATACATTCTGAAAAGGAAGGAAGAAACAGAGACAATAACTTGGAAAAAAGATGGAAGGGAAGACCACTAGGTGAAAAGAGAAGAGAGAGATGGAAGTCAAAGTTGGTGCGGAGCAAGGAGAGAGGACAGAAGGATGATCAAGAGAAAGACACTTCCTTTCCACTGCTCGTTTCTTAATGCACTATGTGAAATTTCTCAGATAATTCAGGTGTGAGCGCACTGTAATGGACAGAATAGATATTACTGAAGTGCCTAAACTCTGAGGATAAAATACAGGAGAAATGTCAAAATAAGGATAGACAAATGCAGTAAATGATTTTGCCCATGTGCATGGATAAAGAAGAGCTGCTATGAGAGACACTACATCAAGTGTTAAGATGTGCACTAGTTATATCGGAGGAATCTGTTCCACCACCGCAAATCAGCCTCATAAAAATAAAAAAAATCCAGCTATGGAGGACGTAGCCAAGAGAAGTGATTACATATGGTTTTTCATTAGTAGTTTTTCCTGGGAAGACTGCAAAACCTTTATTCCTTCTTCTGTTAACTATTAACACTGTAAGGCCCAGAATCTCTCCAGTGAATTCAGTTTTCCTCAGTATTTTTGCCTACTGCCCTCCATTTCCCTATGAATTTGCGAGCGCTGTCCACAATGCTTTCCCAGGAGCCTGTCTCTGAGCCCTACCTTTCTCTATGAAGCTTACAAACCATTTTTCTACAATCAAGACCATTTAAAAATTTCAGCAATAGATCCTGGAATGCCTAAATTTATCTCTAGGTATAGTTATTTGGATAAGTGCCCATTAAAATTGACTTCTTGAATCAGAACTATTAATTAAAATGGAGCTGAATCAACTGACATTCTCACCTTTGCTTCCCATAATAGTTCAAATGGAGTGTATATCCTTGAAGCAAGAAAAATCCAGCTTTCAGAGAAAACGTACTTTTAAAATGCAGTTTCCTTTCATTCTAAGTTACTAAACTATGAATAAAAAATTAATCTGTGAAAAATTAAATTTATGTCCACTTCAGTTATGAAAGAAAAGATATTGTCCTTGTCCTGATAAAATAAATTCAAGCTGCTGATTAATTTCTTATAAAGGTAAACATTCACAGTAATTTCTAAATTAAAAACTCTCTGTTTACAGTGAACACACTGACTAAAATAGTTCACTTTTTCTTACAGCAGATTGGAAGCTAAAACATGCACCAGTATTGACTAACTACAGGAAAACAAGCAGGGCCCCAAACCTTCACAACTGTCATTAAAAATTAGAACCCAAGTGATCTGCTTTTGGGAGGCTGGAAAGAACGAACTTTTCTCATACTTCCTAGGATTTAAATGAAGTCCTACAGAAGGTGTGAATGATTAAGAAAAGCCTGAAAATCAGCAAAATCCATGGCTTTTCAAATACAAAATTGGTATTTTATTTACTTTTCAAGACAAAAGACTGCTCTTCTTACCTGAAGAACTCTTTTGGTCAGGCCGGTTTTCTGAGCTAGCTGTTTCAAGTCCTTGGCATCAGGATTGTGGTTAATAGCAAAGTACGACTTCATTGTCCGCAACTGGTGGTGTTTGAATGATGTCCTCATACGCTTTGTTTTTTGATTGCTGGGGTATTGCTGGTCTCTATCCAGGTGGTCACCATCGTTTTCATTGCAACTTAAAGCTGAAGGCAACAAGAGGAAAAGGCGTGTAAATCTATTGCTCTGTGACCAACATTGTTTGCAGTTCATCTGAGTGCAGCAATTAAAATAACATACCATGGCATGTATTGTACTGGTACAAATCCTGCTTGCCTTCCCCTCCATTTCTGCATCTTCTATTTTTCCCTTACAATAACCAGCCTGCAAGGACCCTCACCTGCCTCTTTATGGCTTTTAAAATGTCAGGTCTGTTTCCTTTTTTCTTCCCTCCATCTCCACACAGCCTTTCCTCCACTTTCCGCTTGTAGGACAGTAGCTGTCCTCAACTCTGTAAAGTGTTTTAATGTACTTTGTATCACTATAAATTGCATTGTAAGGTACAAAGAAAGCTGTACAATGCAGTCCACTTAAATCTCGATGGAGCAGACCAGTTAAAATTATAATTATTTCCTCCATCAAACTAAACCCCGTAGAATACAAGAGAGACCATTAAATGAAACACTATAAAAGAAATAAAGTTTGTGGGTACCAGACAGCAAATTATGACTATAATTTGACTAGCTAGAGAAATAAAGCTATTAATACAATGTATCACTGGCATGCCAAATGCAAAATATCTTTTTAATTATTTATAGGTTTATATTTCCTTTTTTAAAAAAGCATTTGCAAATACTAGTTTGAATGATCAGTTCTGTTATATCCTTTTGAAATCACTGAATGACTCTGATTGAAATCACTGATTGATACATTTGCACAAATCAACCGTAAAGCCTGTAAAGGAGGTCTATGAGCAAGGAACATTGCAATAATTATCAAGTAGTATTAAATGTTGAATGCCAAGCAAAAGAATCTCATAGACCAAAAGTAGTTTTTCATTTATTTGTGCATACAGTAAACCATAGAACACCTCTTAAAATAACATTAAGGACTGAGCTTAAATTTACTAAAAAATACAGGGACATAACTGAAAATTAGCTCCAACAAACTGTCATTAATTTACTTCTTCTGTTCCAGTATCTACAACTCCCCTTTAATTTCCTAGAAGTTTTATGTTAAAAATAGCGAAAAATCACTACTACCTCTGTTCTGTGTTGCATGCAAAAAAATGAGAAAAAACCTGTACTTTAAAATGTGAATTTTTGGTGAATTTCTTAAACAGGTAAACAAATTTGTTCGCAGTTGACCATTACTGCTGGTTCATTACAATTGAGTACATCTCATAGGCATGTCTTTACAGTCTTACTTTCAATTCATGCTATCCATCAGAGGTGCTCAGCACATACAAATTCTGAGAGGCCCGCATTAAAAACAGTTTTTAAAAAATATACATAAAATGCACATAGTCATAAGTAAAAATGCTTTCAGATTCTATAAACAGCAGTTTTGCAGCATGGACAGTGGCTGCTTTGCAAACTTCAGCTTTGCAGAAAACTTCTGCAAAGATACAGCACAATATAGAGCAAGGCCTGCAAAAATTCAGCTTTAAGACCAAAAGCATACTTGTGTAATAGCTACGTAGACAGTGTCCGAAGCCTCAAACTTTTCTCTGTGTTTCTGTAGTCCTGTAATTTAAAAAAACAGCTTAAAAAAATTGTACTGTATATATAAATGTGTATGTATGTGTGCGTGCATGTGCGTACATTCGTATAAATCCTTTCCAGACCTAAGTATCTTGTGCCAAATTCTAGCAATAAGAAGCATTTCTGCTTGTTTTCCTGCAGTGTGGAAAGACTGGAAGCACCGGAATTTAAAAGGTATAAGACGCATAAAAGGAGACAGTAAAAATGCAGTATTAATGGAGCTGCATGGAAGGTAGCAAAATCTTTGTTCTGGTGTAAGAACTGAACTCTAGTTGCCAGACGGGGGTCATCCCATGTGCTCTAGTCTCCTTCATAGCTACAATTCCTGAGCAAATTCTATTATGGAAATGTAAAACCAAGCAGTACTTGGCTTTAAAATGTACTCACAGATTTTTAGATATTAGTAATGGAAAAAGACCTCTGTGTGTTATCTTAAATGTTTTCAAACCCTCCCAGAAATAACAAGGCAGAGACTTAGGGGGAAATGCATCAAAATGTCTGGCTGAAGGACCGAGGTCTGTCCACTCTAATATGCAACAAAATAAACCTGAGGGCTGCAAGTAGCTGGATTTTAACCTGTTCCCTAGAGAATGAGATACATTCAGGATCCAAGGAAATAAAAGTGATTCTAAACCCTCCCAGAATGGAATGAGGGTATCAGCTTTTCATCAAGCCCTGATAGGACAACAAACAAATTTACCCTTTGAATTTATTGAAATTTTACCTCCTCATGTACTAAATAAAAATAATATTAAAATGGCAGTAAATATGTACCATTTGAGACTGGCTAACTATTGTCCTTTTCTATGAAGAAAGTTACAGGACAGGTTCTGAAAGTGCACGAGGGTATCTGCTGTTCATTGTCTTGCACAAGTGGTTTGGGTGCCCCAGGCATCACCCGATATGACATAAATATTCCTAGTTAGTGCCAATTCCCCTCTCGTATTTTGTTGTGGTACTTGGCACCATCTTCAAAAGTCTATTATATTAGGTCTAATATTATATGCGTCTCTCACAGAATCTGAAATGTCTGTGGGCGTTGCAGGCACAGAGATACAGCACGGGCCAAGGGTGTAAGTGTGTGGAGATTTTAAGAGCTGAGGAGTTCCTGCAAAAGGCATCATGGCGTAAGACTAACACTGTACATGCTCCTCACGCAACCCTCTGTTTTTCAGGCGCTTCTTCCCTGTTCCTTCGCGGTGTCCCTACGTATCTCCCACAGGAACTGCTGAACTATCCGTACGTAAGATTCAGTTGCAGTATCTAGGGCTCCTGCTAGGAGTTCAGGAACACAACTGGTAAAATTCCAGTCGAATAGAGGAGTCCTAAACTTGCTAATGTTTCATTCCTATTTTGTGATAAAACAAATTCTGAAGCGGTGCCAAGTCTCTTTTTTGACCCTAGAACATTTCCAAGGCCCTCGTGCCTTTCCCCCAGTCCCCACGTCCAGGCTGTTGCCCTCCTGTCCTTAGGCTGGTCTCTCCAGCAGCCAGCTCTTACGGCCTCTTCCACTAGCACCGCAGTACAAACGTCCACTTGGCCACAAGATGGTGATGTCCACGGAGAGCATCACTAGAAACTAAGATTAAAATGTATTTTGATATGGGTGACCAAAATATCCTCTGCAGAACAGCACATAATACTGTCTCTAAAAACAGCGACATGAGCGTAAAGCGGGTTGTGCTGTTATCTTTGTGACAAACACTGTTTGAAGAAGAAAGCTTGGGAGCACTGCTTCACACTCAGATCGCCAGATCCCCCCCACGTGTCAGGATTCGGGGCAAAGCACGTGCTTAGTAGCGAGCGGATCACTAAGTATATGGCAGATGAAGAAGATAGGAAAGAGGAATTTCCTTTGGGGGAATTATTGTTCTTAGTAGCTTGTGTTTGACATGTTAAATTACCCAGAAAGCAAGCAAACTAATCCTGATTCTGAAAGAATGATGAAACAAGAGACACATTTGGTGCATGCATCAACTCTCCATATTCAGCGGCTCAGGAACATACACCCCTTTCCTTCTGTAATAAGAGAGTCAAGGGGGTGTTTTAACCTGCTGCTGCCTGGAGAGGGAACTTGTGACTAACTAGACCAGGCAGGGGTGCAGCCTTATTTGTTGTTTGGCAGGAGCATGTAAAGGACTTTGTGGTACCCACGTCCCTGAAGGGGACAAAAGTGAGACAGAGCCCTCTGAATGGTACTTGGGACAGGAACAGTCTTTCTCCCTGGTGGAAGGAGAAGACACTTGGGGAAGGCAGACGCCTGAACTCCTTGCCACAGCTGGGATTAGAAGGGGTGAAGCCGGGGCACTCGGAGCAGGCAAAGTACCCCTTGCTGCTTCTGAGGCTCCTGGCAGCACTGGAAGGAGGGCACCCCCGCCAAGCCTGCGGAGCAACAGACACGGAAAGCGCTGCCTCAACCTTGACATTTCAAGAGGTGTTTCGAGGAAGAGGGAGAGAACGCCTGTCTTAAAGAGGGATCGTCTTCGCGGCTGAGCATCACAAGGCCACGGGGGAGAAGAGCGGGGATTAGAAGCCTTCTTTCCTCCTGCCCTCCTCAGCCGCCTCGGACAAAAGAGCTGCGTGTCCCGCT